GTCCAGCCGCTGCGTCCGTCGCGGCTGGGCTGGAGGAGTTAAGTGACGTGTGGCTGCAGAAGTACTTCTCAACGTGGGGCCCTCGCTCAGGGAAACGGATGGATTTTTTTGTATGATGGTGTGGCTTGAAACAAGCTTTATTTATCACCCCATGGCCTGTGCATAAATCGCCGTGCAAACTGGATACTAAATCCTGAACGCTGTACTTCCATGAGCGTTTCTGATGGCTTGCGTTTAACTGTAACACTTTTATTTTCAGACTCTTCTCTGCATAAATCCCCCCCTTTTTGAGGTCTATCAAACACTGTTAAGCCCCACGCAGCATCATGTGGCGCTCATTGGTACTAAAGGGCTCATGGTACTGGAACTGCCTAAACGCTGGGGGAAGAATTCTGAATTTGAAGGTGGGAAATCAACAGTCAACTGCAGGTGGGTAAGACCTGAGGTGGTTCATGATATCCTGTCTTGCTGTTTGTTCCATGAGAGCCTCTGTTCTCGTCTGGCTAGATAGGAAAGGCATTGGTTGTATCAGGGTTGTAGAGACAATCACAAACGCGGTTATTTTGGCTCGGGGTTTGCTGTTTGGTTGTTGCTTGTTGCAACAAAGCTTGTTGCAATTGCAGAGGAACAAGGTATTCTTCTGTATTTTTCACTAACCATTTGGATCTTTTAGCATTGGCAGGTAAAAGCACGTTTTCAGGTGGAAATGGCAAAGGGCTACATATTAAAGCTGTCCCTTCAGCCTTAAGAATTATACAGCCAATGCCTTTGAAACATTTTAAATGGGTTTCCCCTTCTTCTTGCCCCTACTTTCCCCTGGAAGTAGTAACTCATTCTGTTTTTGTTTTTGGGAGGGATGTGTGGTTCTTTCGCTGTTGTTTTTTGGTAACATTGCACGCTTCTGCTCTGTATTACAGTACTATTCCTATTGCGGAAAGGTTCTTCACAAGTTCAACATCTCTGACTTTAAAGCATGCTGCCTGGTATCCCTGTGAGACATTAGAGCCCCATATTGTGCTGTTGACTTCAGATAACACCATAAGGTAAAACCTGTTTATAACTGATCATCAACTTTTTTTTGTAGTAGCCAGTCTGATTTTTCACTGGATCTTTTTGCATCACCATTCTCACCGGGTTTACCAAAAAAACGTAGACTGGGAAAAATTTTAGGCTGATAACTACTGATGTTTCTGTATCAGCAGGGACGCGTGCAACGCTGACAACTGAATTAACATTGTTCCTATCTCTTTTCTCCAGGATTTACAGTCTAAAGGTGCCTCAGACACCCATCAAAGTGATTGCTCTCTCAGACGCTGAAGAGGAGACTTTAATAATAAATAAAGGGTTTGTGTGGCTTCTTGTTTTTGAAATGTATCAAATGTGTTTTTAATTGAATGAGTGGTAAATCCACTAGAAAATCTTCTCATGTCTTATTGGTGCGCTAGCTGCACCTTTTTTTACTTCACGTTTATTTTAAAAAAAAAAAAAAAAAAGGAGGAACAAGCTGTACAGTCTAGTGTTTGCTGGCATTTGAAAAATACACATTACACATCATCCTTAACATGTGGTTAAAAAGGGCTTTCTGAGAGAGGAATGCAGAAAATAATTGTCCTTCTCTTTTCTCCTTGGCCTAACTGAAAAGGAGAAACTCGAGGATCTTGGCTAGTCAAGCCATAGACTGATATATTACACAGGAAATACCGGTACGTCCCCTTGTATCCTGAGAAGTTGGACTGGCTGGTGAGCGTATTTCAGAAATGCGGCACAGGAAGAAAGATGTTACCTGCAGGCTTTTGCTGCTGAACATAGGACATCAAAGAACTGATTGTCAGCTGTTTAGCAGTAGTTTGTCTGACAGCACATACTGATGGACCTAGATAAATAACCTGTGTTCTCCCAGTCATTGCTGACTTCAGGTTTTGTTTCGACTTGTCCCAGGAGGGCCTACACAGCATCGCTTGGAGAAACTGCAGTGGCGTTTGACTTTGGCCCACTGGTGCCACTCCCAAAGAACATAGTTGGACAGCGAGGGAGCGAAGAAGTGTTGGCCTATCCTCTGTACATTTTATATGAAAATGGGGAGACATTCCTCACATATATCAGTCTGATACAGAGGTAGGCCTCACACTCATCCTTACGTTTCATGTGGTGGTTGTATGTTTGTGCAATGCTTGGATTTCAGAGCCATCTCTCAGCCTGGCTCGGGTTCTGGAATGGATGCTAGGCTGGCTTTACGATATTGCAAACTGTTCTGTCTTCTCCCATGGCAGTACCAATAGACTTCAATCCAAGAATAGCGAGGCTTTCTTTTTTGATCCAGAGGTGAAAGGTTCAGTTTCCAATGCTGACAACCAGCAGTCAATTAGCAATTGCCAGATATCTGTAATGGAAAGAAGGGATTGTTAAAAGATTGATGGCTCTGACACTGTTACACGTATTTTGGAACCTTCAGTTTGAAGCAGTTTATTTTTAGCCTCAAATGAGGCTGAACGAGTGCCAGTGTCAGCTTAGGAGAAGAAATATTTTAAGGTCATAGGAGGTTTTCATGTGTATCCCATAATGAGAGGTCAAGAATTTGAATCGAGAATAGGAGCACAATATAGGAAAACATTTCATACCTCAGAAAATTGAAAAGAGTGGAAAACAAGTTAGATGTAGTATAACTGAGAATTAAAACGCGGATGGTATTTAGGTTTGCCTAAACAGCACCGTTTGCCTCTGCTTGAGAATTGATGTTGAATTGAGTAGATCCTGCTCATCATAAGCAATGAAATGACCTTAATCCTGCAAAAGTTCTACCAGACCATAAAATGCTGCTTGTAAGTGCTTTCTTAGGCAAGAAAATAACTAATTAATAAAGATAATTAATTTGAGGTTTCTATAAGTACCTTTTAGATTCTTATATGAAAATATTTCCTCTCAAATTTGTTGCAATGTAGCTTGGTTGCTTTTGGAGGAAAAAAAAATGGAACCCAGCAATAACATTTTATCCTTCAAGATCTCCATGAAGCAGATAGTGCAGGCTCTTAATCTTCAGAAGGCTGGATTGCTACTACCTAGCAGAAATTAAACAGAACTCTAACCTATTGGGTTTGTTTTGTTTTGTTTTGTTTTTTCAATCATCCTTATTTTGTAGTTATTCTCCAGCAATCTCTTGTAGGCAGCTGTGAAGAACTCTGAACACTTCTT